TTCCTCAATTGAGCCTGGTTTCTGTGTTTCTCGACTAGATCTAAGTTGAGGGTAAGTTGTTTGTCATTTTCGCTTTGCACGTAGTTCTGGACTCGGAATGTTGCTTGCTCAAGCTCAAATGGGACAACTGCCTCTGTACCAAAGGCAAGTGAGAATGGGGTTTCTCCTGTTGACGTCCGATAAGAAGTGTGGTATGACAAAAAAACTTGGGGTATAAATTCTGGCCAACAACCTTTAGCCTTGTCCAAGATGGTTTTCAAAGTTCGCTTGGTTATCATGATAGTGTCCTTTACTCCTTTTACTAAAATGAGACTGATAGGATGGAAATATTTCCTTTTGCCCAGAGATTGATATGTCTGTTGACTTGGCAAAGTATTAAGTAAGGCAAGGGGAGGCACCGCTATCGTTTGGAAGGTTAAGGTCTTCTCGTTTGGGTGGGTCTGGCTTCCACTCCCCACTTGCTGATAGGGGATGGTTGTTGGGGGTTTCTCTTGGTATGTCCTTGCTTTGGCGGAAGCATGGTTATAAGTTTGCGCCATCACCTCAGAGTAAGTCTTCCAAGCAGTGTTCTAAAAAACGGTCTGGGTGGCCGCCTAGGCGTTAGGTGTCGATGCTCTACCGTGATTAACTCGAAATCACTTATGAAATCAGCAATGATATTAGGCGGTATAAGACGGCCGCCTAAGTGGGCTAGGCGACTTCGGCGGACGCTGGGCGGTTTGGGAAAAAATGTATTGTCGTAACACACAACCACTTTGTCTCTCCGAGCCTTGCCGTTGCCCTTTCGATTTGCTTGAAATAAGCCTCGACATGGTCTACGAGAGAGAGAGAGAGAGAGAGAGAGAGAAAGAAAGAAGAGAAAGAGAGATAACGATCTTTGTAGGTTAGAAGTTTGCAGTTGCAGTCTTGTAGAGAGGGGTGACGGCGGCAAGTTGTAGACGATAAGTCTAAATCCGCCTAGGCCGCCTAGGCACCCGCCTAGATCCCGCCTAGCCACCTAGGCGTTAGGCGCTTGCCCGCCGCCCGACTAGCGCCTAGCGTTTTTTAGAACCTTGCTTCCAAGTGTTGGCGTTGATCATGTACTTAAAGAAATAGTCACGTAGGCCTGCCGTGAAGGCTTTGAGAGCAGTCTTGTCGTTTGCCTCGGCACAACAGGAATACTCATGGCTGAAGCGACCAGCATACATACGTAATGACTCGTCTGGCTTCTGGCGAATAGTGTACAAGTCATCCGCAGAGTGCAAGCGATCGGTCTGAAAAATGTGTTGAGAAACAAACAGTTTCCTCAATTCTTTAAATGAGTCTACCGTCTCAGGTGGAAGACGACAATACCAGTTTAGAGCTCCGCAAGAGAGGGTGGAGGGGAAGAGAAGACATCGCTCTTCGTCGGTGTGCATCCGGTATGCCATGGTGGACTCAAAAAGGTTAAGGTGTTCAATCGGGTCCTCTTTTCCAGTATAAAGTTGCAAGCCAAGCTTCTCCTTTGTCTTTGCTTGGAGGGGGTGTTGAGGATCCTACTTGTAAGAAGGCCAAGCCTAGGTTGGTTCCAATCAGGTATCTCAACTTGTCGTTCGGCTTTCAACTTGTTTACTTCCTTAAGGAGTAATAGGACAAAAGGGTCCTGAGTGGAGTCATGTACCATTGGAGCTTTCTTTCGTAAATCCCCATCTCCTCTTGGAAGTAGGAAGGTTTGATCAAGAGCATGTGATTTTTCCCTGGACTCGCCGTACTGACTTTCAAGGTATGTCTGTCGGAACATCTCTGAGTCCCCTATACATTCATGTTTCTCTATGACTTGTTGCCCCTTCCCCAAATTAGTAGCCGGCTTGGGACATGGGAAGGGACCGAGTCTTTCAAAGACCTTTGGGTCTTTGATCTTTGAGCTTACATGGATGGTATTGTCTCGACGTTGCTTTAGGAAGTTGATGGCAGTCGTGAAAGACGGCTTTCGATCCTTCCACTCCTTCTATAAGGAGGTGTCTTCTGCCACTCCTCTTGCTTCAGGTCGAAGCAGCTGGGTTGAGAGAAGTCTCATGTTGGTTACCATTTCGATAAGTAGCTCGCTTCTCAACAGGAATACCTATGTTGAGGGCAAATGACCCTCCGTGTTGGGGGGCACCCAGTTGATGGTTGACTTCCACAGAGGTGATGAGCTCGTGTGTTTTAGTATATCTAGCCTTGTGGAGCATCTTGAAGACCTTCCCATACTGCTCTTGGAGGATCTCATTCTTCATCGCTATCTTGTTGTTCTGAGCCTCCAGTTCATCGACTTTAGCCTGAAGAGTAAACTTCTTTTGTTCCTTCTTTCGTTGCTTCGCACCAGGTGCAAGAGGGGTGTAATTTTGCTTGTTGTGGCTTCATTCGCTCCCCATGTTGGAGAGGGATGCCTGGTCAAAAGAGAGTGTACGAATGGTGGAAACCACATTGACAAAGCTGAAGAGAGTGGGAATAAGTGTCGTTCCCACAGATGACGCCAAATGTTGATGCACAAAATCAGTGGGGACTTTGGTACAACAGAAAATGTTAAGTTTGTGACCTTCACTAGATTGCTCCAGTCACTAGTGTGGATAAGTATGTAAATGGATAGAGACAGGGAAGCAAACACAAGATGTACGTGGTTCACCCAGATTGGCTACATCCACGGAGTAGAGGAGTTCTCATTAATTGTGAAGGGTTTACACAAGTACATAGGTTCAAGCTCTCCTTTAGTGAGTACAAGTGAATGATTTAGTACAAATGACATTAGGAAATATTGTGGGAGAATGATCTCCTTTTATAGAAGAGAGATTCTAGCTTTGTTTTGACATTGACACGTGTCGTGTTGTGATTGGCTTCTGATGTTGACACGTGTCGCGCTATGATTGGCTTTTCATGTCGACACATGTCATGCTGTGATTGGCCTCCTGGTTGGAGGGAAACTCTTCTGGGTTCTTGACGGTATAACGTTGACCAGTGCTCAGTAGTTTCAGAATTGGTCAAGTACGGTACAACAAATATCAAATAGTTGAAAAGATTAGATTGGTTGATTGGAACTCTCCACCAATTTATGATGAGTACGTAGATGATGACGAGTTTACAATTTATGTGGGAAGACAATAGTCTTCTCGGAAGCTTCGAGGTAACCAATTTTCACTTTGTTATTCACCTCAAAGCTACCATGATTGTGATGTTTATGATGCTGCCAAGTATTTGGATGGAGTGATTAATGAAGGATCCCATTTGAAGTGGAGTATGTTTTGTGGGTTTAATATCTTTAACAACAACCCTGGATTCCCTTTTGGTATGGCTGCTGAGATAGATTTGAAAGGTCATCCAAAAGATCGAGGAAAAAAGAACGATTCGAACTCGAGGACGAGTTCTTTCCGAGGAGAGGAGTATGATGCAGTCCAAGACAACTAATATGGTCTATGTATTAAACATGTTGTTAATGGCTTTTCATCTTTCAAAGCCATGTTTTAATTAGATGTCTAGAAACTATAAGCTTTAGTTTAAATATTTATCTTATCAATGTATTGTAATCTCTCTATTTAAAGGGCTCCATATGTAAGATTAAGTAGCCAATTAGTGAATTAAAAAAAAAGTAATCTAAGAAGAGAGTGATTTTCTCCTTCTTGAACAAGCATTTGGCTTGGTCGTGTTGAGCAACTCTATGATTAGCGATGCGAGTAATTTTGTTGCTCCTGTTGAGTTATTCCCAAGTATCTAGCCCCATCGTCCCCATAGACTCTTTGATTTTTCCTGCGTCAATATTCTTCTTTGCTTTCCTAGTCGATCATGGTGTTTTCTAAGGCTCTAATCAATAACATGGACACTTTTCTCTTTTTTTTTTATCTATTTTATTGTTGATAAGAAACAATTGTATTAAAGAAGAATAAACACAAATAGGACAGATTTTGGATCCTCTTCTCTACCAATTAGTAAAAAAAAGGGGACCCGATATGTGAGTGCAAAAAGACAAAAAACAATAGTTGGAACCGAGTGCTAGTGAGGATGTGGGTGGGGGAAGTCGAGGGGAAAATGATAAAACTTTGGTGTAGGCTAGATTGACTACAATACTCATCGCTGCAATTTGTAAGTGTGTTTCTAGAAAAGCTTACTAAAATCTGAAAACGCGTTTGCCAGAGACTATTACAGGTTGGAAGAATACGCTGTACGCCAATGGAACAATTCAAAAGCATGATTTGGAAAGCTTTGAGCAGGAAATACATTCCAAAACGAAGACCAACATGGGGTCAGCAACAACACTTTCAACCTCTAAAGTGAGGTTTTTTTAAATCATATTCTTTTTCATGACATCACACTATTCCATCTTAACTCGCAATATTCATGCGATCTCACTTAAAAAGTATGTTATTCTATCATCTCATATATATTTTTAAGTTAACAACCTAATTCTGTTATATTTATTTTATGAAAAGAATGAAGTTGCATGATTTTTCATGCAATTTTCAATCGTGCATCAACGTGTGATTTGAAAATTTTGGTTACTCACTACGGGCTCGTTAATTTGGTGGGTGATATTGGATTGGAGTGGGTAAATAGTAACAAACTAGATTCAATGTACGTTGAAGTAAGAAAAGGATGTCAACTTCCAATTCTTATCCTTCCACCTTGGTAGGAATTTTTTTTATTTTTTAGAAGAAACAAATTTGTATTGCAAAGAAACAATAAAATTACAAGGACACTTTTTTCTTTTTTATTTATCTATTTTATTGTTGAGAAAGAAACAATTGTATTAAAACCAACAATAACCCTTGAAGTAAGTTCTAAATTTTCCCTTCTATTCCCCCTCCATTTCTCTCCAACCCTTTTTCTAAAATTGGATTAAATGTTAGAACCTAAAAACAAACTCAAATTCCCCCCCCCCACCCCCCAAGATTTACCCCAAAAAACTTGGTAGAGCCCAGAGAATATGGCCCACCCAAGTGGGACTATCTGCCCTGATGTCTGATGGGTAACTGAGCCCAACGACTCTTTTATGATCTTCTGTAAGTACCTATGTATTTGTTCAAACATCCACACAAAACTCATTTTTCTCCTACAATTCTTTCAAAACCATTTCTTCCCATTTACAATTCTTCCAATCTCTATCATGTGTCTCACATTCTTCCAAGGATGGGAGATGGTCCTCTTCTTGACCAACAAAAGATAGGAACACACAACTACCTCACTGGCCACCAATGAATTAGCAATAATGCTATCCTTGCTAAACACGCCAAAGTTGTATACTAGTTTTGACTTTTGAGATTTTTAGTTGAAACTTGAGGTTGAAGTTATCAAATTGTTCAGTTTGATATCATTTCTCATCTGATCCTCGTTTTGGCTTAACTGGTTTTCCTTGCCCCTAGATATGGATGCCGCTGTAGGCATCATTTTGTCCCCGGCTCTGCAGGTTCTTTTCGACAGACTGGCATCCCCAGTCCTACAAGGGCTTGCTGATATCCTGGGTTTCAATTTTGACATCTTCCAAAGCCTGCAGCATGCACTGGTGCGGGCTCAAGCTACTCTTGAAGATGCAGAAGTGCAACAATTCACCAACAAAACTGTCAGACTCTGGCTGGTGGATCTCAAGAATGCAGTTTGTGATGCTGAGGATCTTCTCGACGTCTTTACTGTTAAACAAACTGCCATGATTGACCAAGACTTTGGTAAGCAGACAGTAGAAAGCTATACATTTCTTACTGATAAAGTCAGGAACATACTCCAGAAGCTAGAAGTAACTGTAGCTGAAGGATCTTCTAAGTTGAAGATTAGAGAGCCTACTCAGCCAAGGTCAGATCGACAATCGGACAAAAGGGAGACTAGCTCTTTCATCGACTTGAGGATATATGGAAGAGATGATGACAAAGAGACGTTAGTCCAACTGTTGATGTCTTCTCAAACTGTTTACCAGGATGGATATACGTATGCATCGTGTATTCCCATCATCGGTATTGGAGGAATTGGTAAGACCACTCTTGCTCAATTAGCATACAATGATAAGGTGGTTATTCAACACTTCGATATTAGGATGTGGATTTTTGTCTCTTCTGATTTCAATGAATATTTATATACGATTGATATGAGTAATGCTCATGAATGATTTGAAGTACTGGGCGTACTTTTGATCACCTGGTTAGTGGTAATAGCGGCAGGTTGCCGAAATAATTTTGGAGTACTGGGCGTACTTTTGATCACCTGGTTGGTGGTAATAGCGGCAGGCTGCCGAATAATTTTGGAGTACTGGTCGTACTGTTGATCACCTGGTTAGTTCTTTTTTGGGCTTATGGGCCTTCGCCCTCCACAACATGCCAGCCTATTGATTTTAGGCTTTACCTTTTTTTTTTTACCCTCTGATGGGGTTTATAAAGATGTCTCTGAAAGATAAGAAAAATACATCATTCAAAAATAAAGGTTTTGACAGTTGCCATCATCATCATGGTGTGGACTGCACCACCCCACCATGCATCCCATTAATATTATCTGTTGCAGCATTATGACCATGCACATGAAACTGCTGTCAAATTTGAATTCGAATGAGCTGGCTTGTTGGCCCATCATCATCATGGTTGTGAACTGCACCACCCCACTATGCACCCCATTAATATTATCTACTTTTGTTTACTTTCTCTTTTCTTTTTTTCTTTTCACTTTTGCTTTGCACCTTTGTCTCTACTTTTCTCTAGACATCATTCTACTTTTTTCTAACAGTCATGGCTGGTCTTGGTTTGAAGCCATGATCGATGGTGATGCACACAAAAATATAGAAGAAAAACAAGGCGAGGAATGTATACATAGAGTTACTGGAATACTAGAATTGAGCGGCACCAGAGGGCTGGCTTACCACTTTATCTGCCCAAGGTGTGTTTGCAAGCATTTCAGGAGAGTCAACAAGGCCAGTCAAGCGGTGGAATTAATGGTGTGGACAGAGTGCAGCATGATTCTATGCTTTCCTAGTCGATCATGGTGTTTTCTGAGGCTCTAATCAATAACATGGACACTTTTCTCTTTTTTTATTTATCTATTTTATTGTTGATAAGAAACAATTGTATTAGAGAAGAACAAACACAAATAGGACAGATTTTGGATCCTCTTCTCTACCAATTAGTAAAAAAAGGGGACCCAATATTTGAGTGCAAAAAGAAAAAACAGAAAGAGTTGGAAGCGAGTGCTAGTGAGAAGGGAGCGGATGCGGGTGGGGGAAGTCGAGGGGAAAATGATAAAACTTGGGTTTAGGCTAGATTGACTACAATTATAAAAACTAATTTAGATTCATTGCTGCAACAGGTACTCATCGCTGCAATTTGTAAGTGTGTTCCTAGAAAAGCTTACTAAAATCTGAAAACGCGTTTGCCAGAGACTATTACAGGTTGGAAGAATACGTTGTACGCCAATGGAACAATTCAAAAGCATGATTTGGAAAGCTTTGAGCAGGAAATACACTCAAAACGAAGACCAACATAGGGTCAGCAATAACTTTCAACCTCTGAAGTGAGGTTTTTTAAATCAGATTCTTTTTCATGACATCACACTATTCCATCTTCACGCGCAATATTCATGCGATCTCACTTAAAAAGTATGCTATTCTGTCATCTCATATATATTTTTAAGTTAAGATCATCTTCAATCGTTGGGCTAAATGCCAAAATTTTTAGCTCAAAAAATTTAGCTTTAAACTCAGAAACAGTTTTTCTGTTCCAATCCTTCTGGCCTAAAATTTTAACCCGGGATTATTAAAGATTGAACTTAGGCTATTTTTTTTCTTAATTTTTTTTTAATAAATAAATATGTAGACTATCGTAAATTAATTTTATTAACATTTTAATCTAAAAATATTTAAATTCCGATAAATATTGAAAAATTACTAAATTTTCTACAAAGTAAGCCTTCAACTTTCACCAATCTTTCAACCCTGGGCTAACTTTCCGTTCAACACCAAACTTTCAAGGTTCACCAACCGTTCAACTTTCATCAATCATCCCTTATATAAACATATGTCCAGTATTAGTTGATCACACAACTTTTCAACCTTCAATCATCCTCTATATTCATCAATCTTTCAAATTTCGAAGAGTTTTTGTTCCCTAAAAATCCTCAATATCTCATGAATGGGTGATAGAAGAATGCGTAGCATGACAATGCAGATGACACAATACCAAGCAATGATTGAGATTGAGGATGCAAATGGCACAATACCAACATGATTGTGGAAGATGAGTACATCGAAATTGAAGAAGATTCAGACGAAGATGTGGATGATGACCAATCAACACATGCGAGAGCTATTGCAAGAGATGTTGAATATCTCGCTCCAACCACATATGAGACCCGACAGGATGGGGTCACCTTGAGTGAGTATATGAGACGTTTAAATAGAGTGTACGAATGGTGAAAACCAGCTTAACAAAGCTGAAGAGAGTGGGAATAAGTGTCATTCCCATAGGCGGCGCCAAATGTTGATGCACAAAATCAGTGAGGACTTTGGTACAACAGAAAATGTTAAGTTTGTGACATTCGCTAGATTGCTCCAGTCACTAGTGTGGATAAGTATGTAAATGGATAGAGACAGGGAAGCAAACACAAGATGTACGTGGTTCACCCAGATTGGCTACCTCTACGGAGTATAAGAGTTTTCATTAATTGTGAAGGGTTTACACAAGTACATAGGTTCAAGCTCTCTTTTAATGAGTAAAAGTGAATGATTTAGTACAAATGACATTAGGAAATATTGTGAGAGAATGATCTCTATTTATAGAAGAGAGTTTCTAGTTTCATTCTGACATTGACAAGTGTCGTGTTGTGATTGGCTTATGATGTTGACACGTGTCGCGCTATGATTGGCTTCTGATGTCGACACGTGTCGCGCTGTGATTGGTCTCCTGGTTGGAGGGAAACTCTTCTGGGTCCTTGACGGTATAATGTTGATCGGTGCTTAGTAGTTTCGGGATTGGTTAAGTATGGTACAAACAATATATTTGCCCCTTGCTTTATTACATAATTACATTTAAGTCCTCCGAGTATTTGTACGAGATCTAAATACGGAGGCCTTAAGTATGGTATAACAGTAGTCCCTCAAGTCTTCAGTCAGAAGAGTCTTTTGGCTGACTTGAAATTCAGTCCATGTGTGGACCGAAGTAACTAGATGTCGTCTAGAGCTGAATACTCGATATGAGGCGGCGCTCAATGTGAAATGAGGCTCAACTAGATGTAGCACATGTTGCGAGTCTGCTCGGCTTCTGGCTTATGTTGCCTTGGTTAGCTCGGCTTGTGGCATTTGAAGGTGAGGGAATCTCTTTTATAGAATAAGGGATCACTCCTCAATACATAAATGATGGGTTAGAGTTGATGCTCGAGGCGAGGCGGTTGCTCAGTAGGCAGTGATGCTCTCTAATGAAGGTGAGGGAGTCTCTTTTATAGAATAAGGGCTCGCTCCTCAATATATGAATAATGGGTGCTTTCTAATGAAAATGAGGGAGTCCCTTTTATAGAATAAGGGCTCGCTCCTCAATACATAAATAATGGGCTAGAGTTCCCCAAGTATTTTTCATGAAGTCCAGTTGAGGCCCAATATATGGTATATAATATAGTCCCCAAGTCTTCGGTCAATAAAGTCTGTTGGCTGGAGACTTCAAATTAAATCCATGTATGGGCCGAAATGGCGGTTGTTCGGAGGCAATATTTGTATACCTTGCACTGAAGCTTTGTAGGTGAAGCTTTGCAAGTGAAACTTTGAAGCTGAAGCTCTGCAAATGAAGCTTTTGAAGCTAGAGCTCTGTAAATGAAGCTTTTGAAGCTAGAGCTTTTGTAAATGAAGCTTTTGAAGCTAGAGCTCTGTAAAGGAAGCTTTTGAAGCTGATTGACATGAGTGATGCTCATGAATGTTTTTGTTGATTGACATGAGTGATGCTCATGAATGTTGACATGAGTGATGTTCATGAATATTTATATATGATTGATATGAGTAATGCTCATGAATGATTTGAAGTACTGGGCGTACTTTTGATCACCTGGTTAGTGGTAATAGCGGCAGGTTGCCGAAATAATTTTGGAGTACTGGCGTACTTTTGATCACCTGGTTGGTGGTAATAGTGGCAGGCTGCCGAATAATTTTGGAGTACTGGTCGTACTGTTGATCACCTGGTTAGTGCTTTTTTGGGCTTATGGGCCTTCGCCCTCCACAACATGCCAGCCTATTGATTTTAGGCTTTACCTTTTTTTTTTTTTTAATTTTTTATTTTTACCTTCTGATGGGGTTTATAAAGATGTCTTTGAAAGATAAGAAAAATACATCATTCAAAAATAAAGGTTTTGACAGTTGCCATCATCATCATGGTTGTGGACTGCACCACCCCACCATGCATCCCATTAATATTATCTGTTGCAGCATTATGACCATGCACATGAAACTGCTGTCAGATATGAATTCGAATGAGCTGGCTTGTTGGCCCATCATCATCATGGTTGTGAACTGCACCACCCCACTATGCACCCCATTAATATTATCTACTTTTGTTTACTTTCTCTTTTCTTTTTTTCTTTTCACTTTTGCTTTGCACCTTTGTCTCTACTTTTCTCTAGACATCATTCTACTTTTTTCTAACAGTCATGGCTGGTCTTGGTTTGAAGCCATGATCGATGGTGATGCACACAAAAATATAGAAGAAAAACAAGGCGAGGAATGTATACATAGAGTTACTGGAATACTAGAATTGAGCGGCACCAGAGTCAACAAGGCCAGTCAAGCGGTGGAATTAATGGTGTGGACAGAGTGCAGCATGATTCTATGCTTTCCTAGTCGATCATGGTGTTTTCTAAGGCTCTAATCAATAACATGGACACTTTTCTCTTTTTTTATTTATCTATTTTATTGTTGATAAGAAACAATTGTATTAGAGAAGAACAAACACAAATAGGACAGATTTTGGATCCTCTTCTCTACCAATTAGTAAAAAAAGGGGACCCAATATTTGAGTGCAAAAAGAAAAAACAGAAGGAGTTGGAAGCGAGTGCTAGTGAGAAGGGAGCGGATGCGGGTGCGGGAAGTCGAGGGGAAAATGATAAAACTTGGGTTTAGGCTAGATTGACTACAATTATAAAAACTAATTTAGATTCATTGCTGCAACAGGTACTCATCGCTGCAATTTGTAAGTGTGTTCCTAGAAAAGCTGTTGGAAAAATATGGTCTAATTGCTATATTAAGTCACATGAAAAATCAAGAAATAATTCATGCAATTATATATCAAAGTAATGCATACACATGAGTAATCAATGTTAAATGAACATGATATAATGGATTAGAAAAACCTAGAAAATACGGTCGAGGCAAGTGTTGGATACTTTGTCCTTAAGACAAGTTTACGCCCCACTACGGTACTCATGGTTGATCGGCGTATGTCTCCCAAGATACAACGACCATGTCCTTGCAATAGTAGCACTCCAAATCACAAGGCTCCATGAACCGCGATTGTGTTGAAAACTCTCCCATATGGATTCTAATAGACTCTCTAATATTTAATGCACTATATGTATGTATATGTAAACAATGAAAAGTCATTCAATGATTATAGGGGGCTTCCCTATTTATAGAATGTGAGATACCTCTCTGGAAAGCATGTGACTATTCATGAAGAGTCAAAAGTTGCAACTCTTCATCTGGTTTGATTGCTATTTTTGTTTTGAGAATAACATGCTTCCGAGACAAAGTAAAAGTTGATCCTAATGGCATCATCTTTCTTTCAGATTTATTCTATCATGTTTTTGTCCAATAGATTAATTTTTGTGGTAGAATAGTCTGGTATGTAGTCTTGGTTTCTTGCAAAACTGTTTGTTTGTATTCTTGCCTAGTTGGTTACTTCTTTGCCATGCATTAAGTTTCGGTTTGTAAAGTAAGTAATGCTTTGGGAGTGTTTTGTTTACGACTAACCTTATATATAATATATATACGATTTCATGAATTCACGGCTTTCAAATGATTGTCGATCGAGTGTTTGACAAATTAATTGACGGATTTCCAAGTGGTTGAGATGCCAATTGGGAAACGATTGCATACATTTACTTGTATATTGTGAATTATATAAGAATGTGTTGGAATGAATCCCTATAATTGATGGGTTGATTTTTTGTCTGGAAAAGAAACTCACTATATCTAACTTCATGAAAGGGTTCTCTGTAGAGCCTCCACCGACAAACATGACCCTTCCAAACTATAAGGAAGCGGATCATTTGACCCTTTTCCAAAGGGTAACCATTCCATCACCGTGATGATGCCGTTTGGGATTTTGAGTGGCAGTTTGGATTCTAATAAGTTTCATTTTTGTATATTTGGTTTTCTGAGTTTTGCTTACTGTATGCATGTATGTTGTCTCACGTTGCTATGAGTTTATCTAACTGAACATGGTTTTTTTTTAGCGTCTATATATCAATTTATATGTGGTTTTTCTTGTGCAAATGAAGCTTAATGCTTCTTGGTAGGGTTGCATGCATGAGAATGGCTTTTGATTGCGTTGACCTATTTTGATCTGATACTTGTTTCTTTGAAATTGTGTTACACATGTGTTTTGTTGAAATGATTATTTCAATTGTAGTAGCTTCTCTAACTAAAGGGGCATCTGGTGTGAAGAGAAAGGTCTGCGGATTTGAACTGACGTATTATATATATGGATTCCATTTTCCTGTTGTAAGTAACCCTAATATACACGAACAACTTGCATTTCTAATTGATAGAATACATTCTCAAACCTGATCCGTTGGAATGAGTTGTATTCAAATGAAAGGGTATATAAGTTATAACCCTAAGAGAACTGGACACATGCCTTTTGGTGTAGTCAAAACTCATTATTACATTTGGCTGTTTGAATGGTTGTGCTATGTACATCGGTTGCATTGCAATGAAAGGTTGGCTGCCAACCCAGTGGGTAATCACTGAATGTTGTCATTTCCTCATGAACCGGTATAAAGATAGTGTGGCGATGAGGATGTGATCCTTCGGGATTTCGTTGCTTTACAAATTATTGTGATTTAAGAACACAACCTTTCTTGTTTTAAAACAAATGTTTATTGGTTAATTAAGAAATGCACTAGTAATATGCATATATTTATCAGATTTATGTCTATTCATAAAATCCATGTCTGCAAAAAAAAGGTATATAGAAATGCATTTCTTATCGTTTGGCATATCATAATTGCATATTTGAATTTCTCCATTGTATATCAAGTGTTGTACTATGGAGAATTATGAGTACTTTTCTCGAAAGAGTAATATAATGGGAACCATGTTTGTCACAGTAAGACGATGAAATTTGATTTTTAGTGACAATTAGTTGTGATGTTGTGACAATCAGTAGTGATGTTGTCCTTAGTTAGATTGTAAAGCATGAACTCATTTTGTTTGAGTTATTCGTCTTGAAGATGACGCTTCAGTTGTGGGGGCTAAAGTCTGCTTTGAAAGGTTTAAGCACTCTAGGGTGAGGCTTACCGTGAAAACTGTGTAAGACAAAACCCTAAAAAAAAAAAATTGAAGATAGACAAAAGAAAGCACTCCGGCCAAGTTATGTAATTAATATATACGGTTGATTTAGTGACTTTTGGTTCTTTACCAAAAGAGTGGCTGGAATCTTTTGGAAATTACAAGTTTGGTTCTCATTTTAAGAAGTGAAGTATCCAAACGGGGTATCACGTTGTGATAAATTTTCTAACTATGGTTCTTGTTTAATTTCAAGAAACAAAAGGTCTGAATACCTAGTTGAATGTGAAAGGAGTGCTTCTTATAGAAAGGACTTGTGAGGCTTGAAAGCCTATAAGTGAAGAATAGATAAAAAGAAAATATCTTCATTGGTTCCTAATTCTTAAGTATGATGAAGGAGTAATTGATAGCATTAAAAAGCAACCACAATGTGAGTGAATTGTGGGGGAGTGACATAGTTATCTTTGGATTATATGTCAACTTAAGTAGAATGAAAAAGTAATTTGCTTCTAGAAAGAGATAAAGATTATCTCTTGCAATGATATTTTAAGGTATTGAAAGGTTATAGACTTTTCAATAAATACCTTAAATGTGGGAGGAGTTTACCCAAGCATAGGCAAATATCTTAGTAAGTCCCAATATATGTTTGAAAGACTTAACATTGGAAAACAACTACTCTCAAAGGAAATAATTTCCATGCATGGATATAAAGTTCGTGATGGCCATATAATGAATAGTCAACCTAGTGGTACCAATTTTTAAAGGTTTGATTAGAGAGTAAGTTGTATCATCGAGGGGAATGGGTTAAAAGCCTACGTCTTAAGAATCGCCATAATGGCAACCCAACCTAGCTGACTGGAGATCCCAAGATCTAGGTTCAAAGGGACAACCGAATTGTGGATGATTCAATGGGAGCACTGTGGAGATAATCTCCTACCCATGTCCTATGATGAAACAGTGCTATCTGCAGCGTATTTAGGATAAGTTTTGCTTTTAATGATTCCTATACTTGAAAATAACAAGTGGGGTATTAATGCAGGATACTCTTAATGGGAAGTCACCTATCTTGAGTGAGGAATGGGGCCGTTCCTGTGAGAATTTTTTTTTTGAAGGGCTTAGTTCTCTAAAAGCACTCATGAGAAACCAAGAATTGTTCAGGGCCAAAATGAACACAACCGAGCAACCACGAGGTGTCTGGAAGGGTATTGTGTGATTACTATGTCTTGGTTTATACAAACGGCTGAGCAGTTCAAGACATCGCGTTCACTGATTAGCCAAGTAAATCCGATAGTAATTCACTACGGAAGGTTCAAAGCCAAAAGCCACCTATCCCGATGCGGTACTTTTCCTACTGAATTCTCTCTCTAGTGTCTGCATTATCATTTGCATAGTGTTGCGTCAATTTCTATTCATGTGGGAGATTGTTGGAAAATTTAATAATATTATTATTATATTAAATTTATTAATTGAATAGAAATTAGAAGTGGAGCCTTTTGGTAGAAAGATGTGTCAACTCAAATGAAGACTTGCAACTTTTGACTCTTCATGAATAGTCACATGCTTTCCAGAGAGGTATCTCACATTCTATAAATAGGGAAGCCCCCTATAATCATTGAATGACTTTTCATTGTTTACATATACATACATATAGTGCATTAAATATTAGAGAGTCTATTAGAATCCATATGGGAGAGTTTTCAACACAATCGCGGTTCATGGAGCCTTGTGATTTGGAGTGCTACTATTGCAAGGACATGGTCGTTGTATCTTAGGAGACATACGCCGATCAACCATGAATACCGTAGTGGGGCGTAAACTTGTCTTAAGGACAAAGTATCCAACACTTGCCTCGACCGTATTTTCTAGGTTTTTCTAATCCATTATATCATGTTCATTTAACATTGATTACTCATGTGTATGCATTACTTTGATATATAATTGCATGAATTATTTCTTGATTTTTCATGTGACTTAATATAGCAATTAGACCATATTTTTCCAACAAAAGCTTACTAAAATCTGAAAACGCGTTTGCCAGAGACTATTACAGGTTGGAAGAATACGCTGTACGCCAATGGAACAATTCAAAAGCATGATTTGGAAAGCTTTGAGCAGGAAATACACTCAAAACGAAGACCAACATGGGGTCAGCAATAACTTTCAACCTCTGAAGTGAGGTTTTTTAAATCAGATTCTTTTTCATGACATCACACTATTCCATCTTCACGCGCAATATTCATGCGATCTCACTTAAAAAGTATGCTATTATGTCATCTCATATATACTTTTAAGTTAAGATCATCTCCAATCGTTGGGTTAAATGCTAAAATTTTTAGCTCAAAAAATTTAGCTTTAAGCTCAGAAACAGTTTTTATGTTCCAATCATTCTGGCCTAAAATTTTAGCCCGGGATTATTAAAGATTGAACTTAGACTATTTTTTTCTTAAATTTTTTTTAAATAAATAAATATGCAGACTATTGTAAATTAATTTTATGAACATT